TGCAGTCTTTGGTTGAAAATGAGATTACAATCCGGTTAATGATAACTATAGGACGTTACTCTGTCACTGCTGATGTGTATCATTTACTTCTTATCACCTTAACTGGTTTAGGGATCTTGAATAAGTTCTTTGGTCCTGTACAATCAGTACAATAGATTATAGTCCCTAGTGCATAATTCCTCTCGTGATTCATGGCATGTGCACATTTTGTTTACGTCACGACAGTACAAATTGCAACGTTAAGCGCCCCTTGTACGTCATTTGTGTTTACTGACTGACTGACAGACGGCACACAACTGTATAGTGATGCGGGTAGTTAAAACAGGTGACTCCTCCAGACTACATGACTAAGGTTTCAAGGGGTTGAAAAACTTTTTAAAATAAATTAATAAATAAGTTGTATTTACTTTAACGCAAAGATACACTCAGGGCCATCTGCACGCTGTTTACCAAGAAGTAAACTTTTTCGTCTACTACCTATCTACTTACCTAATCAGGTCAGCAAGCTATGCACAGACTATCCCTACAAGATTTCTCCAGCTTACTTGACTGGCCTGTGAATATCCTCTTTTGATATTCTGATAAATATTTACAGATTTTTTATAAATGATAAACATATCAGGCACGTGCTTAAATATATTTTCAACCCAACAGATGGCGCTATATATCGCTGGATAGACACACGACAGTTTCTTGTTTGTTTGTTTTGAAGTTAAGCACAAAGCTACACATTGGACTATCTGTGCTCTGCCCACCACGGGTATAGAAACCCGGATTCTAGCATTGTAAGTCCGCAGACATATCGCTGTGCTACTGGGGGGCACGACAGTTTCTAAAGGTAAAGTATATACTTTATATGGGTATAACATAAAAAGTAAACAAACAAGAGTATTAAAAAATTATGAATTTTAAAATTAAGTAGGAATCCTGCTACAAAAAGTAATGAAACAAAAATTAAAACCACAATTATAAATTTATAAAATTTACTCCATACTTTTGACAGCTTCATACACTTATCTGTAGGCCTAAGTAACTAAGATATGTTCTTTCTTATTTTTCTTAGTGTCATATACTTGTGTTTTTGAAGGATATTTTCTACTGTTGAGGTTTGGTAACTTTTTTTTCTTACACATGCTTTAGTCGATTTATGAGTGTTTGTTGCGAGCTGGGAAGATCAAGACCTCTTCCTCCCTTCTTGGTGGTAAATGTTAAGATACTAGCCAAGTTACACCACGAGATCAGGGTTAAAACACTTCGCTGGTTATTGCACTCATCCTATTTCTCTCTTCAGGACCATCTCCATGAATGTAAACAAGTGTGGAAAAATCTAAGGTTTTTTTGTTACTTCTCTTAATTTGTTTGTGTAACAGTCCTCCACTTCACAAACACTTCATTGACAAATCAACACTTCTTCACTAGACTAAGTTATCTAACGTGTATTTGACATAAATACCCTTTCGATATCACAATCTAGATGGTGTCATAAGACCTAGCTATAGGTGGCCAGTTTAATAAGATAACCCTGGATATTGTTGTTTTGTATAGTGTATTTTTAAGCAAGAAGAAACCTAATGAGTTGTTCTAATATGTTAAGGATAATAGGAGTGGAATGTTTCTTGACTGTTGTGAAAAGTAGAGTAATGCAATCTTGTTGATGTAGATGGTTTTGATATTCACTAATGAAATCAAATAGTGTGTTTTTGGCAGTTTCCATTATGGGGTTATATTCTGTATTTGTGAATAAATTTACGGGCGTTTTTGGTATGTCTGGGTGTGGTATATTTCGTGGTTGAGTATTCATTTGATCAGTTGTTATGTTAGGTTGTAGTTCTGAGATTTCTTTCATTTCTGACTAGGTTTGTTTGTTTTGTGGCTGTATTTGTTTGTTTGAGTGAGATACTTGTCTACTGCGTGGTTGTGTACCTACTGGTGTTACATATGTATATGTAGGTTTTGTTGTTGCTGCCGGTAGAAGTGTTGTCTTAGTAGTTGTTTGGTATGTGCGATTTGTTTCCATGTGTTGTGTTTCAGTCTCTGTGGTGTGGTTATTATGGTGTATGTTGTAGATTCTTGTTTTAATTTATTTGTATTTCGAACAACCTTTGTAACTTGCCGTGTGTTGTTGTTTACAATTACAACAACAAGGGTTTTGGTGCTCCTTCGGACAGATTAGTTATGGTGATCTCCATCACACTCACAACATGGCGGGAAAGATTTACAGGCTGCCAAAACATGTGCGTAACGTTGGCAATTGAAACACGGCGTCATGACAACGGCTGGTGTTTTTAAACACTGCGTCATGACAACGGCTGGTGTTTTTAAACACTGCGTCATGACAACGGCTAGTGTTTTTGCTTCTTCTACCTGAAAATAATATGGTGAGATATTAAACCCTAGATATCCCGTGTACTTTAATCATGTTGGTTTGTTTTTGTGTCCTGCTTCAGATGATGCGTTCCAATTTCATGTAAAGTCCATCCTGGATCTGTTCTATTTCTTGCTCAAGTGTATACCTCTGTTACGTCTCCGTTCGTTAGTTAATTTTCCGTAACTTTGTTCCAACGAAACTTTAGCGACACAAGTCCTTT